TAAACAGACTCTAAAGTCCCATTAAGAAGCTTCTAAAATGATATTGTGTTGTTGAAGTTACTGGTTCAATTTCTTAGCTACAACATATAATCCTTAATAATACTAGAATCTCAGGACTCAGGAGACTCCCTCACTATTACAACAACAGTATGGCTTAGGCCAAACAATTAGGCAGTAATATATATTCAACAGCTACGCATACTTTCAAACTGAATTGTCGTGCTTCAGAAAACAAAACAAGCAAAGTATGAACCAAAGTGCTCATTGGACCAGAACATCCCGTGAGATAAAAAACAATATTAATGTTGATGATCAAGCCCATTAATAAGCTAGGTTCCTTTTACGCCCAAGACAAGTATCACATTAGAACGAATTTGGTGATTAACTAAATGAGTTGTAGCTGGTTTCTCATCTATCATACATTGTCAGCCAATACTCAAATCTTAATTTTATCATACATGTTGAGCCATATTCGAATTTTAATGAGTCGAGTTCACAAACAACTCTTTTCTCTTAACAGCTCTTAGCTCTACCAAATGACGATGACTTGAAATGTTGATGCATACTTCATCAAAGTCTTTATAAGTGCATAAAATTGATTATCGTGTTGAATCAAACGAGATGATACAATATTATTGTACTTTTCTATATCTCTTTCTTGCTTGGACGCCAAATACTGACATATGATCGATTCGAAGCACGCGTGAACACGATAAGTGCAGCGCACAAAATCTTCGAATGTGTATGCAAATAGGTCATAGTTGTTACTTGTTAGGTTGAATAAAGGTGTTGATGCACAATGATTGAACCTAATTTGTGTTATATGAAGTCATTTAAGGTTTTCCCATGCATCAATTGTTGTATGCATTGCATAGGCATAACAGATTCAGCGGACCTTTACAGCTTTGCAGTTCAAAAAGCTAAAAAAAAAATAAAATAAAATTTTGCTTTGATCATATATAATATTTCAGCTCATGGGATGTTTGTGATTTTCACAAGCAATTTCAGAATATGGAAATTCATATATATGCCTTATATAGATAAGAACACTTGTTAATTGTAAAAGTTTGTACTTTCTGTTTGAAAAAAAAAAGAATATTTGAAGGAAAAAAAATTTAATTTGCGTTTCATTACAATTGAATAAATGACATGTAATTATCTATATTTCGATCATATATGTCGTCTCGAAAAACAAAGGTGTCCGAGGAGAAGCCAATTGTAAAATAAAAACTTGGAAATAAGAAAAAATCTGGAGTGCTCCAATAAACTCCAGAATTCGAAATGGCCGTAAAGTTTTCAAATTTGTGTAATCCCATGAAACTATGCCTGATGCTGACAAGAGATTCGAATGAATATGATAAAAGTATTCCAATCTGCATTATGTTGGGATGTTGAATGCAACTTTTTCATGTACTGAACTAAAGTGAACTAACTTGTCCAGTACTGTTGAACCAGTTAATTCCTTTTGGCCTTGCTTTATTTTCAAAATCATGCATAGAGTTTCCTAAATCACCACCTCATGTATAGGTAATTACATATAAACTAATTATTAAATTTTTATATAGAAGAAAATTGTTGTGACCATGATCTAGTTATTATTTGCTATTTGGCTGCATCATTAATATTCTGTTTTGATGTTATTATGTAATTAGTGTTACAGACTTTCTAAATAATACTGTTTTGCTTGCTTTTTTTGCACTTCCTGCTCTGTATTTTACTCAAATTTAAAACCAAGCCATGGACCACCTATTCCTTTTGTAAGCTACTTTTGGGTTTTTAATTACCCTTTTGTGTTAGCTACTCAAAATTGGAAGTTCAAATTTGCAAAGCGGGCTCTGCTTGCATGAACTTGCTGATAATTAATTATTTGTTATTTGCATTCTTAATTATTTATAAAAAAAAAATTATTTGCATGCTTAATTCCAAGTGAGGCATGTTCTCACTTAAAATGTTACTATTACAATCACAAAATTAATGTACAAGGCGATCTAACCAATAGGCAGGTCGATCGATCATATATATATATATTTTTAACAAAAGATGCACACTTATGCTATAAAATAAGTTGTACTTATTAGTGTATCATAATAATATCATCATATTTTACTTATGATACTTGTACATTGAATTAGAATCACTATCATATAAACAAAATAATTTGCCCTTCCACAAGTCACAATAATTCATTGTCCTCTATCACACCAACAACAACATACCCAGTATATTCTCAACTGGTTGGGGTCTGGAGGGTCAGTTGTACGCAGACCTTACCCTTGTAATTATACGAGGAGACTGTTTCCGTAACGACCCAAGGTGCATTGTCCTCTATCACACAATGTACCCAAAATAAGTTGAAAGAAAAAGTCTTTTATCACTTGAAAAATCTGCAAAGTTGTTGCTACTTTATTCAAATTACCTACTACATATTACCAAGCAACAACTTAGAAACCAACACTCACCCTATAAAAAAACCATCCATCAAAACACATACTTTCACCTCCCACAATCACACACACATAC